TCAATAAAAATTTTCCCAAAAAAGTCTGTTGGGGTTACTAGAAAAAAAGAAACTTTAAATCAGCAATTACGAATAAACACAAAGAAGCTTTTAGAAGTCTAATAAAACTAAAAGTATGAATGCAATGTCTCACCAAAAAGAGAATATTAATGATGATGTAAAATACAAACTATTTTTCAAAAAGAATCAAATAGAAACTGTAGAGCAGAAAATTATAATAACTAAAATGAAAATTTTACTCAAGGATCTCAACAGAAAATTTGAGCTGGTAGAAGAAATAATCCACAAACTTGACAATAGATCAATTGAAATTACTCATTCGATGAAACAGAATGAAAACAAATGAAGAAACATGAACAGAGCTTCAGATACCTTTGAAACAAAAATGGTGATCACATAAGGAAAGAAGAGAGAAAGAAAGAAAAATAGAACAGTGAGTTTATGAAAAAATATTGGAAAATGTAAAGCTGTAAAGACTGCATTTTGAATGGAATAAGTATCTCAAATCAGAAACCCAACTTTCCTTCTTAAAAATCAGGAAAAGAAAACTAAACCTAAAGTGAAAATAATAAAGACTAGAGTAGAAATAAGTGAAATAAAAGATAGGAAAACAACAGAGAAAAACAATGAAACCAAAGGCTCATTCTCTAAAAAGAACCCCAAAATGACAAACCATGAACCAACCACACTGATCAAGAAAAAAGAAAGAAGATTTAATTTACTATAATTATAAAGAAAAAACATTAATGGCAATGTTATAGAAGTAAAAATATTGAACAATGATATGTCAACAAATTAGATAACCTACATGAAATGAACAAGTTTCTAGAAACACACAAATGACTGAAACTGACCCAAGAAGAAATAGAAACCTAAATCAGCTATCACAAGTTAAATAATCACATTAGTAATCAAAACCTTTCCATACAGAACAGTCCAGACTCAGATATATATTGTGAACTCTACCAAAGGTTTAAAGCATTAATAGTAGTTCTTTACAAACTTTTTCCAAAAAAAGAGAGGAGGAATAAACACTTCCTAACTCATTTTATAAGGCTAGTACTAGGATGAATCTGGAAACTATCATTCTCAGCAAACTGACCCAAGAACAGAAAGCCAAACACTGCATGTTCTCACTCATAGGTGGGTGTTGAACAATGAGAGCACGTGGACTCAGGGAGAGGAGCATCACACACTGGGGGCGGTTGGAGGGGGTAGGGGAGAGACAGCAGGGGATGGGGAGGGATAACAAGGGGAGAAATGCCAGATATAGTATGCACCTAAAGTTAAATAAATAAATTTTTAAAAATAAAAATAAATAAATAAAATAAAAAATTCCTCTAAAAGCTGAGGGATTCAATGAATGCTGGAATTAAAAATAAAATAAAGACATTGCATTAAGAGGAAACTATAGACCAATATCCATTATGAATATAGATGCATAAATCCTCAAAAACTATTAGCAAATGGAATCTAGCAACATAAAAAAAGTATTATTTATAATGACTAGTTAGGATTTATCCTAAGGGTACAGAGCTGGTTCAACATATGAAAACTAATCAATGTATTACACGTTACTAATAGAATGAAAGTTGGAAACCACATTTTCACCTCAAAAGACATAGAAGAGGCATTTAACAAAATTGAACACCCTTTTATGATTAGAAAAGTTGACAAACCAGGAATATAGAATGGAATTTTTCAACCTAAAATGAGCATTTATTAAAAATTTATAGTTAACATAATGCTTGATAAAGAGTTACTGAATCATTTTCCTCTAAGATAAGGAACAAGATATCTTGCCACTTACATTCAACATTGTATTGACGGTTCTATCCAGGAAAATCAGGTAGCAAAAAATAAACAAAAAAATTTAGTTTGAGGAAAAAGTAAAACTAACACTTTTTACAAATAACATTATCTGATCCTGTATAAAATGCTAAAAAAATTCATTAAAATCTATTAGACCTAATAAATAAGTTTAACAAAATGGCAGAATACATGACCAACATACAAAAACCAACTGTATTTTTGTATACAAAAACACAGTTACAGTAACATGAAAAGGAATAAATATACCTATACTTCACTTTATACTTTATAAATTTAGAAATAAATTTTTAAAAAGAAGTACAGTACTTGTCTATTACAAACTCCAAAACATTGTTGAAAGATATTTAAGAATATATAAACAAATGAAAAGACATCCTAGGTTCATAGATCAAAGACAAGATTAGGATGGTAATACTCCCCAAATTAATATACAATTTAACACAACCCCTGTTAAATTGCAGCTGACTTTCTTCAGAAATTGACAAGCTTATCCTAACATTCATATGAACATGGAGAAGACTCAAAATAGTCAAATCAATATTAAAAAAGAAAAACAAGGTAGGATGTGCTAGGTTTTCAAGGGAAGGCAAGAGTTAAAGAAAGACACGCGGCTCAACAGCCAATACAGCCTTTACAGCCTACAGAAGTGGGGGACCAGCATAACGCCAGAGCCCTCTCCCCCTGCTGCTGACAGGCCAGATGGGAGGGGCCTAGCAGTATGGCTTGCCGCCGGGCAGGATACTGATATCTTATCAATATCCTGCCCGGCGGCAAGCCATACTGCTAGATCCCAAAACAAGGATCTCTGGCCCTTGTTTTGTCGAGATGTCGTTGCGGTGTTTCCTGGACCTTTGCCCAGCAAGACATAATAGGGACGTTTCTTTAGTTGGGCCTTTGTCTGCCTTATGGTCAGGTGGCTAGGCAGGATGTTTCTTACATCCCGAACTCCGGTGAAATGTTTCACTTTGACCAAGGTCTGCAAAATAGCAGGGATTTTATAAACTTGTTCAGTTTGGACTAACAGGAAGGCACACACTTCCTAGTTTCAAAAGTTATTAAAAGGTACGGTAATCAAGACATTGTGGCACTGGCATAACAATAAACGTAAAAGTCCGTAGAACACGATCAAAAACCCAAAAATGAGTTCTTACACTAGCATGACAAGACAACACAATGAAGAAATAGCAGTCTCTTCAACGAATGGTGTTAGGACAACTGGATATCTGCATGCAAAAGAATGGAGTTAGACCACTGCCTCACAGAATATACACAAATTAACTCAAAGTGTATAGACCTTGATTTAAAAGCTAACACTATAAAACTCTTAGAAGAAAATACAGGCATAATTATTTGTGGCCTGAATTAGGTAATGGTATATTAGATATCACACCCAAAGTACATTTAACAAAAGAAAAATTACAGATAAATTGGCCAAGGGAAGAAAAATACAGACCAACATGTCTGATGACTACAGATAGAAAACTCTCCAACAAAACCTTGCAAACCAAATCCAGCAACATATAAATGTGATTATACACCATGGCCAAGTGAGATTTATCATAGAAATTCAAAGTTAGTTTAACATACCAAAATCAATCAATGCAATGTATTACGTTAAAATAATAAAGGGCAAAAACACGCTTACTAAACAAAGTGACAAAATAGATTGTAATAGTTGATGATTTTATCTCCTTACCTATCTGTTTTCCCTAAATCCTTTCAAAATAGATAAGTAATTCAAAAGAAAATTCATAATTTGGTATGAAGCTAAAACTCTGCCAGGAGCCAAAGGAATGGCATGTTCGGGGGATTCCTGTAGGATAATATGTGGAGGAGAGTAGCAGAAAACGAGGCTGTAGAAGTGAATTGAGACCAGATCTTAACGTGGCTTAACTCTACCTTATTAAAGAATTTTGAATTTAGTCTATAGATACCAGGGTGCTCTGGCAGGGTTTTTAACAACAGTGTTTCTTGATCAACCCTTTCAGTTATATAATTCTTCTCATTACAATATTTTCTACAGCAAATTACAGCCCTTCTCCCTGCCCCCAACTCAAACTGCTAAATCAATCAGGAATCATTTCATGATCATAAGATGGCTTAGGCAGCATAATTTCTGGTTCACAGCCAGCAGGAGAAATTGGCCTATCTCAGAAGCTACAAGGAGGCCTCTCTTTACTTCACTTGGCTTCATTGCCTCAGGTCTGCTCATCTCTGAACTGAGTAATAGCAAACGGAATAGGATTACATGACGGATTCAGACAAATCATATGTAGTAGGCTAATTTTGAGGGAGTCAACCAGAATGGCATCAGTCATTCTGGCCAGAAAATAGAGATAGAATCAAAGAAGAACAAAGCTATAGATGAATATAATTAAGTGGTTGCCCTAACAGGCAAGGCAAACAATGAGTACCTAAACTTAAACAATGAAGAATAAAGAGAATATGATGAATTTGAAAGATATTTAGGAAGCTTATTAATGTTTTGTATGTTAGTTTCACACTCAATGCTAGATCTTAGATTACATAAAATTTGTTTAATAAACTACTTATCCTTTATTTCTATTTCCCATACTACTCAATAACTATTGAACATAGTTTTAAATACTAACCTGTTACTTGATTAGAAAACTATTCTTAAAATGTTCGTGTATTTTCAGTTTTGTGTGTATGTGCTTATACAATATAATATTCTGCTGTGAACTTAAAAACAAAATAGAAAAACAGAGTTTTACTCGAGAAAAGAATGACACCGTTCCCATTAGAATGCCTTCTGCAGTGGTTCCCAAAAATCCTGTAGTATGAGCCAGATGGCTCTCTGCTCCATTGGTTGTTCAGGTATTTCTCTTCAGATCTAGAACATGAAGTAGAGTCCCAAGAGAAATCAGGACTCACCAGAGTCCAGCTGAAGGTTAAAATCATTTTAGGAAGAAGAATATTCTAGTTTAATATGGTTGTTGCAGTTCCTCGAGACTTCTGATCTCTGCTGAGTTTTAGGTCTGATATGCCTTTGGCTAGGCCCCCCAGAGCAGAGTAGGTACCCTCTTCCCGGTACAGTTTTGACTAACAGCGTTCCAGGTTTGCATATTTGCATTCGATGGCTCAGGATAAGCCTCTTATTTTAGACTATAATAATGATTAATTTGCTATCACTCAATTCATCTCAGGTACTTCGCCCTCAGAAATGTCACTGTCGGAATCCTTGGAAATCATACCATCCACAATTTCTATTTCTTTCTAATTTGCAAAGAATCCATGCGACTCCAGTCAAGAACAAAAGATTAATTGTGAATCAGTGAAGAACTCTAATTTTTTCAAGAGGCCACATGGAAAATGAATTCTAATGGAAGTCCTTTCCATTACTCTTATTTCTTAGTTCTTCAATAAAGCATGCGATTTGATCACAAATTGACTTTTCCCTTTTTAAAAGCCAGTATGGGTTAACGTGGATAAATAGAGCCTCTCCAATCCCTGGGGTTGAGGGGATGTCGGAGAGTAGCGTTAAATGCCTACTTTATCTAGGTTGGAGGAGATTGGCTTAAATTAAGGGACTTCTTCATCCAAGAGGAGAAAATATTCTGATTTTGGAAGTTGGCAAAATGTTCACGTGGTAATGTCAAGACTTTTGCTCTCTCTCTACTTCTGTTTTCTCACCCGTAAAACAGAAGCAATAGTCTCTAACCCATAGAGTAGACCGAAGAATTAAATGACAATATATCATTAAAAGAGCTTCCCACAGCTCCTAACTCATAGTAGTTCCTCAATAAGTTTTTATTACTTATTATTTATCAGCTTTTATCATGATATCAGTAGCATAATGGTATACGAAGCCAGATTGAATTTTTTCTGTTTCCCAAGAATGGGTGACTAGAACCTCCCTCTAAAAGCAGGAGATATACTCAATATTTTAAGGCCAGAAAATCTCTTAAAATCTTGATGAAAATATAATGTATTGAGTTGTGCCCCCCTCAAAAAATTATATTGAAGTCCTAATCCCCAGTACTCAGAATATGACCTTATTTAGAAGTAGAGTATTTACAGAATCAATCAAATTAAAATGACATTATTAGGATAGAGCCAAATCCAGTATCACTGGTTTCCTTATAAAAAGGGAAAAATGGGCCGGGCACAGGGGCTCACACCTGTAATCCCAGCACTTTGGGAGACTGAGGCAGTTAGATTGCTTGAGGTCAGGAGTTCAAGACCAGCCTAAACAACATAGTGAAACTCTGTCTCTACTAAAAATACAAAAATTAGCCAGGCATGGTGGCATGCACCTGTAACCCCAGCTACTCAGGAGGCTGAGGCAGGAGAATTGCTCGAACCCAGGAGGCAGAGGTTGTGGTTAGCTGAGATCGTGCCACTGCACTCCAGCCTGGGAGACAGAGTGAGACTCCGTCTCAAAAATAAAGAAAAGGGAAAATTAGGCACAGACACAGATATTTACAGAGGGAAAACAATGTGAAGACGCACAGGGAGAAAACCATGTAAAGTTGAAGGATTGGAGCAATGCATCCACAAGCCGAGAAGTGCCAAAGGTTTCCAGCAAACCAGGAAGAGGTCAGGAAGGATCCTTCTATAGGTTTCTGAGGGAGCATGACCCTGCCAGCACCTCAGTTTTGGAGTTCTAACCTCCAGAACAGTGAGACAATACATTTCTGTCATTCTAAGCCACTCATCTGTGACACCTTGTTACATTCACTCTGGGAAATTAACGCAGGTGCCTTTTCACTATAAGGAACACTCTATTTCCCCATCCCATGGTACACGTTAGGTGTTTATGGAAGGAGGTTATCCTCTCACCTCAGCATTCAAACGGTTCTACTCTCTGAAGCTGGGGAAGAGATGAAGCAGCTGTAAAGTTTGTGGCTGCCTACAGGAAAAATCACACTCCCTGCTGATAGTCTTTGGGACCCAGGTGGGACTTGCTGACCTGATCTAGAACAATCAGAGCAAAAGCCAGCAAGGTTAAAAGACATGGCTATAGGAGCCTGCAGAGGTGGACCATGGATCACTCCTAAAAGTTAGAGTTTGCAAGGGGTAAAAAAGCAAGATACCTATCACCACTGCCTGCGGGCCCCAACATGGGAACACTAGGGGGAGAGGAGACTGGAAGCCTCAGGTTTCCTGAAAATTGCTGTAGCTTGAGGAGCAATGCATATGAAAGCACTTCAGCCAAATGCTGCTGATGGAGGCTCAGTGCGAAGGTGTAGCCACATTATCAAAGAAGTTACTAATGCCTAGGAGAGAGCTTCTCAGAATCGAGTGGCTCTTAACTGTGGGCAGTAGAAACTTCCACATACCCACCTAGGTTAGGAATATAATCTACAGAAAAAGAACTACATTCTGACATAGGGGCTCGTTTAATTTCATTTAATTTTTTAGAATAAAGATTGTTTTTATTAACCTAATATGACACTGCTAGAACGGTTACAGATGATTGGCTTCTGAAAGGTGTCTACGTCTTATAGCCAGTACACAATAATTATTGAAGCATAAAATAGTGTTAAACTCTTCACCTAAAAAATAAAAATAAATTTGTAAAAGGTTATTTTTGTATGTATAAAATTTGTCATTTTATAGGCATATTTTAAATGCACACATTTTGATTTATATCATAATTTTATACTGTTTATGCATATTTTATAATTCAATAATTTTATAAGTCTCTGATGTGAACATCACATATTGAATGCATATGTTGGGCTGCCCGTTTTTCAGTCTTATTCTGATGTGACTTCCAAGAGTCCAGCATATACTTTCTCCAGAGCCTCTAACTACCTTCTTCCAGTCCATCCTTGATACACTTTGTCTGTTTGTTGGTGAGATGGAGTCTTGCTCTGTCGCCCAGGGTGGAGCGCAGGGAGTGCAGTGACATGATCTCGGCTCACTGCAAACTCTGCCTCCTGGGTTCAGGCCATTCTCCTGCCTCAGCCTCCTGAGTCACTGGGATTATTGGCACATGCCACCACACCCAGCTATTTTTATTTTTCTTGATACATTTTTTTTTTTTTGAGACGTAGTTTCGCTCTTGTTACCCAGGCTGGAGTGCAATGGCGCGATCTCGGCTCACCGCAACCTTCGCCTCCTGAGTTCAGGCAATTCTCCTGCCTCAGCCTCCTGAGTAGCTGGGATTACAGGCACGCACCACCGTGCCCAGCTAATTTTTTGTGTTTTTAGTAGAGACGGGGTTTCACCATGTTGATGAGGATGGTCTCGATCTCTTGACCTCCTGATACACCTGCCTCGGCCTCCTAAAGTGCTAGGATTACAGGCATGCGCCACCATGCCCAGCTAATTTTTTGTATATTTAGTAGAGACGGGGTCTCACCATGTTGACCAGGATGGTCTCGATCTCTTGACCTCGTGATCCACCCGCCTCAGCCTCCCAAAGTGCTGGGATTACAGGCTTGAGCCACCGCGCCCGGCCTCTTGATACATTTTTAAAGATTAAAGCACCCAGGATCATGTTAAGTACTAGAGACTGAACATATATGTCAACAGATAGTGGGATCTCTCATAGTTCAAATTTTGTATGGGATACTTTTCTATTCCCCATGCCATGAAATAGCCAAAGAAATTAACGCTATATCTGGCAGGGTTAATTATTTGACTATTTCTCACTTTTTCTACTTCAGCCCTCTCTAACTGGCCTCAGCCTGTTCTGCCTACACAGATTAACATTATATCCTCCTTTCTCCTATCTTAGATGAATAAGTCTGTTCTTTTATTATCTTATTCTGTTCTTTATTATTTACAATATTAATTCCCACTAATACTTCTGCTCTTTCATTTTTTATATTTTTTTACATATGACTTCTGATCTTTTTCTCTTATATACAAAGTTATTATAAAACTGTGTACGTCATTGAGATACCATCTCACGCCAGTTAGAATGGCAATCATTAAAAAATCTGGAGACAACAGATGCTGGAGAGGATGTGGAGAAAAAGGAACACTTTTACACTGCTGGTGGGAGTGTAAATTAGTTCAACCATTGTGGAAGACAGTGTGGCGATTCCTCAAGGACTTAGAAATAGAAATTCCATTTGACCCAGCAATCCCATTACTGGGAATATTTCCATAGGACTATAAATCGTTCTACTATAAGGACACATACACATGAATGTTCATTGCAGCACTGTTTACAATAGCAAAGACCTGGAATCAGCCCAAATGCCCATCAATGATAGACTGGACAGGGAAAATGTGGCACATATACACCATGGAATATTATGCAGCAATCAAAAACTATGAGTTCATGTCCTTTGTAGGGACATGGATGAATCTGGAGAACATCATTCTCAGCAAACTGACAGGTGAACAGAAGATGAAATACTGCATATTCTCACTCATAGGCGGGTGTTGAACAATGAGAACATGTGAACAATGAGAACACGTGGACACAGGGAGGGGAGCACTACACACTGGGGTCTATTGGGGGGAATAGGGGAGGGACAGCGGGGGGTGGGGAGTTGGGGAGAGATAGCATGGGGAGAAATGCCAGATATAGGTGAAGGGAAGGAAGGCAGCAAATCACACTACCACGTGTGTACCTATGCAACTATCTTACATGTTCTTCACATGTACCCCAAAACCTAAAAAGCAATTTAAAAAAACTGTGTAGGTATCTAATTATGATGTATCTCAGGATACTCAGGTCTGAAATTTTATATAATAACATGGATATTTTATAATAAATTTATTTGCCCTTTATATTACACTTAAGCATTATATCAATCTCTTAAGTTATGTAGATATTATTATTTGTGATTTGTGTCTCAGGATACGAAAAATATTAACTCTACATTTATTTTACTGAAAAATGTTTAAACCAGATTTTAAACTAGATTTTTAAACTAGACTTCGACTAACAGTCTTAATACAGACTTCTAATTCCATCCAATGTGAAATAACTGATATCAGATTTACTGAAACCAGCTATGAAAGCTGGGGAAAATACATAAATCATCAATTTTTCGGCACTGTACAAAAGCCAACAGGTTTCCATTCTTTGGAAATGGGGAAGTATACAAGGTGAGCCCCACAATCACCCAGACTTCCCCTTGGAAACATTTTCCAGGCCATGTGGTAGGAAAGCAGAACCCAAATACTTACCGTAGTCTTGCTGGACGGAAACAGAGATTAAGTTTGAAACTGCTACAGTAGCTGGAATTTGACAGGCATGCAATGGAACAGATACCGCAATCTTCCTTAGGTCCTTAGCTGAACCCTAGCCATATCCATTAATACAACTTCAGAAAGCCTAACAGAAAGTCAATTCCTAGCCAGATGCGGTGGCTCAAGCCTGTAATCACAGCACTTTGGGAGGCCGAAGCAGGCAGATCACCCGACGTCAGGAGTTTGAGATCAGCTGGGCCAACGTGGTGAAACCCCATCTCTAGTTA